TGATGTTAAAGGTCCATCAGGAAAATTCAAAATGCCAAACTTTAACCTTCCTGATTTGGATGCTGATGTTAAAGGTCCATCAGGAAAATTCAAAATGCCAAACATGAACATGCCTGATCTTGGTGGTGGAATTAATTTACCAGACGTGAATATGCCCAAATTTAATGTCAAGAAACCAGATCTGGACATTGATGCTCCAGGTGTTGATCTAGACATGCCATCAGGAAAATTCAAAATGCCCAAATTTACAATCCCAAATCTTAAGGGACCCAAGATCGATGGAAACCTAAATGGACCAGATATTGATATAGATGCTCCCAACGTCAATCTCGAAGGTGATTTAGACATTGACGCTCCATCAGGGAAATTCAAAACACCAAATGTGAGCATGCCCAATTTCAAGCTTTCTGGGCCTAACATTGGTGGCCCAAAGCTGGACATGAAATCTCCTGACTGGGATATCTCTGCTCCAGATCTTAGGGGTGGCGTAAAGGGACCAGGTCTTAAAATGCCAGAGCTTGATTTTAAAAGTCCCAAACTGGACATGAATTCTCCAAAACTCAACCTTGACATGCCATCAGGTAAACTGAAAACACCCACACTGCCAAAAGCAAAGACAGAGCTTCACGCTCCAGACTGGGATCTAAATGCTCCCTCAGCCAAAATGAAAATGCCCAAGTGGAATTTTTCGGGTACATTACCAAAGGGACCAAATTTGGATATGAACACAGACTTAAAATCACCAGATTGGAGTCTTAAATCACCAAGGATTAATAGTGGAATTGATGCGCCAGATGTTAACCTACCAAATATGGACATGAAAGCTCCTAAATTAGATGTGAATGCTCCAAATGTTAACATTGGTTCCCCTAAAGGAAAATTCAAACTGCCCAAATTTAAATTACCTAGCTTCAATTTCCCAGGCCTCAAAGGGCCTGAAATTGATGGAAACCTAGATAGTCCAGATGTAGATATAAATGCACCCAACGTTAACCTCAAAGGCCCCAATGCTGACCTTGATGTTAAAGCTCCATCTGGGAAATTCAAATCACCAAACCTAAACTGGCCTAGGTTTGGATTCTCTGGTCCCAACATTGATGGTCCAAAGTTGGACCTAAAGTCTCCTGACTTGAACATCTCTGCTCCAGACCTGAGTGGTGGATTAAATGCACCAGACATCAACATGGCCAAACCGAAGGCAGAGTTTAACGCTCCAGACTGGGATCTTAATGCTCCTTCAGGTAAACTTAAAATGCCCAAGTTGAATCTTTCAGGCACATTACCAAAGGGACCAAATTTGGACATGGATGCAGATCTGAAGTCACCAGACTTAAGGCTTAAATCTCCTAATGTAAGTGCTGGATTTAACGCCCCTGAAATTAACTTACCAAAGATGGACCTCAATGCTCCAAAGTTGAATGTAAAAACTCCAGATGTTGACATAGGTTCACCCAAAACAAAATTTAAGTTTCCAAAACTCAAGATGCCGAAATTTAGCTTTCCAGGCCTTAAAACCCCTGAGTTTGATGGAAACATCGATGGACCAGATGTAGATATAAATGCACCCAACGTTAACCTCAAAGGCCCTAATGCTGACTTGGATGTTGATGTTAAAGCTCCATCTGGGAAATTCAAATCACCAAACCTAAACTGGCCTAAGTTTGGATTCTCTGGTCCCAACATTGATGGCCCAAAGTTGGACCTTAAATCTCCTGACTTGGATATCTCTGGTCCAGATCTCAGGGGTGGAATAACAGGACCAGATTTAAAAACGCCAGACTTTGACCTAAAACATCCTAAACTGGACATTGATTCTCCAAAGTTCAACTTAGACATGCCATCAGGTAAATTCAAAATGCCAGAACTTAATGCTCCAGACTGGGACATCAATGCTCCCTCAGGCAAACTGAAAATGCCCAAATTTCACATACCAAGCCTTAAGGGACCTAACATTGATGGAAACCTAGATGGACCAGACATGGATATAAATGCACCTAAAGTCAACCTCCGAGGGCCTAATGCTGATTTGGATGTTGATGTTAAAGCCCCATCAGGAAAATTCAAAATGCCAAACATGAACATGCCTAACTTTGGTCTAGGAGGACCAGATATTGATGTCAATGCACCAGATGTAAACCTTAAGGGTCCTAAAGCTGATTTGGAAATTCCAGATGTTGATATTTCTGGTCGATCGGGGAAATTCCAAAAGCCAAGCATGAACATGCCTGATCTTGGTGGTGGAATTAATTTACCAGACTTGAATATGCCCAAATTTAATGTCAAGAAACCAGATCTAGACATTGATGCTCCAGGTGTTGATCTAGACATGCCATCAGGAAAACTGAAAATGCCCAAATTTAACATACCTGGCTTTAAAGGACCCAAGATTGATGGCAGGTTAGATGGTCCAGATATGGACATCAATGCACCTAACATTGACATTGATGGCCCAAATGCTGATTTGGATGTTGATGTTAAAGCTCCATCAGGAAAATTCAAAATGCCAAACTTTAACCTTCCTGATTTGGATGCTGATGTTAAAGGTGCTGATGTTAAAGGACCATCAGGAAAATTCAAAATGCCAAACATGAACATGCCTGATCTTGGTGGTGGAATTAATTTACCAGACGTGAATATGCCCAAATTTAATGTCAAGAAACCAGATCTGGACATTGATGCTCCAGGTGTTGATCTAGACATGCCATCAGGAAAACTGAAAATGCCCAAATTTAACATACCTGGCTTTAAAGGACCCAAGATTGATGGCAGGTTAGATGGTCCAGATATGGACATCAATGCAACTAACATTGACATTGATGCCCCAAATGCTGATTTGGATGTTGATGTTAAAGGTCCATCAGGAAAATTCAAAATGCCAAACATGAACATGCCTGATCTTGGTGGTGTAATTAATTTACCAGACGTGAATATGCCCAAATTTAATGTCAAGAAACCAGATCTGGACATTGATGCTCCAGGTGTTGATCTAGACATGCCATCAGGAAAACTGAAAATGCCCAAATTTAACATACCCGGCTTTAAAGGACCCAAGATTGATGGCAGGTTAGATGGTCCAGATATGGACATCAATGCACCTAACATTGACATCGATGGCCCAAATGCTGATTTGGATGTTGATGTTAAAGCTCCGTCAGGGAAATTCAAAATGCCAAACATGAACATGCCTGATCTTGGTGGTGTAATTAATTTACCAGACGTGAATATGCCCAAATTTAATGTCAAGAAACCAGATCTGGACATTGATGCTCCAGGTGTTGATCTAGACATGCCATCAGGAAAACTGAAAATGCCCAAATTTAACATACCTGGCTTTAAAGGACCCAAGATTGATGGCAGGTTAGATGGTCCAGATATGGACATCAATGCAACTAACATTGACATTGATGGCCCAAAGTTGGACCTTAAATCTCCTGACCTGGACACCTCTGCTCCAGACCTGAGTGGTGGATTAAATGCACCAGACATAAACATGCCCAAAGTTGACCTAAAAAGCCCTAAATTTGACATTAATTCTCCAAAGCTCAACTTGGACATCCCAACACTATCTAAACCAAAGGCAAAGCTTCATGGTCCAGACTGGGATCTTAATGCTCCTTCAGGTAAACTTAAAATGCCCAAGTTAAATCTTTCAGGCACATTACCAAAGGGACCAAATTTGGACATGAATACAGATGTAAACCTTAAAGGGCCAAAGATTGAAGGGGGCATTAATGGCCCTGATATGAACTTACCAGAAATAGATGTTAATGCTCCAAAGGTAGACATCAACACTCCAGATTTTGACATTGACTCACCAAAGGGAAAGTTTAAAATGCCGAAACTGAAAATGCCCAAATTTAACCTACCAGGCATCAAAACACCCGAGTTTGATGGAAACCTAGATGGACCGGATGTAGATATAAATGCCCCTCAAGTCAATCTTAAAGGCTCCAAACCTGACTTTGAAATGCCAAGAGTTGATTTTGGTCATTCATACGATAAAATTAATTTACCACATTTAAAAATTCCAGTTGTTGGATTTACTTCTGGTGACTTGGATGGTCCAGACATTGACCTCAAGACAAGAGATCTTAATGCCAAACTTCCCAAAGGACCTAATTTGAAGATGAATTCTGACTTTAATTCACCAGATGTCAACATCAGAGCTCCACATATGAAAGGTGGAATCAGTTCACCGAAGATGGGTTTGCCAGATATAGATATTAAATCTCCAAAATTAGACATAGATACTCCAGATGTCAACATTGACTTACCTGATGCAAAGCTCAAAAAACACAAAATAAAGAAGCCCAAACTACCAGATGTTAATTTCCAAGGAGACGTACCAAATTTAGACATAAATGGTCCATCAGGAAAATTAAAAATGCCAAGTTTAAGTACACCAGACCTGAGTTTTTCTGCACCAAAGTCAAAAACCCTGGACACCAATATTTCCGTACCTAAACTTAAAGTGCCCACAATAGGTACACCAGATATTAATTTACCTGACGCCAGTTTAAAAAGACCCAAGATAAATATGGACGCAAATCGACCTGATCTGGGAGTAAATGGTAGCTTGGGTCGACCTGACATAAACCTCAATGCTCCTCAAGTCAGAGGAGGATTCAACGCTCCAAGCTTTGACATTAATGGTCCTTCTGGCAACATGCAGGTTCCTCAAACTGACCTTGATCTGTCTGACAAAAAATTCAAGTTTCCGTCTTTTAAGCTGCCTCAGTTTGGAAGCCCAGATGTGAACACGACGGGGTCTGATATTGATTTTGGGGCATCCCTGAGACCGGCAAGAGTGGACATTGCTCCTCCAAATGTAAAAGCAAGTGTACCCTTAGAACTGGGGGGAGACATCACAACTCCATACATTCGTGCTCCAAATGTGGACGTTCAGCTGCCCAAAGCAGCCGTGAGAAAACCACAGATTAAATCTCCAGAACTTAATTTAGATGACGCGTCTTTAAACATTAAGGGACCTTCACCAAAACAACGCAGATCAGATGGAACTGGTATGAATTTGAAAATGCCAGATCTGGATATAGACAGAGATCTACGACTTCATCACTCAGGAACAATATCATATAAAGACCCACAGGTTGATTTTACTCGATCGGACCTCAACATTGACGATTTTACAGGAAAGGAGCATGTGCTGAGAGCCAGAGGTTCTAAACTAGACCTCCAGGGTTCTCATAAGCTTGAAAAGGTCAACTCTCCATCACGTGGCCATATTGATGCCAGAGAAACTGTACAAACCAGAAAGGTACCGAGTGGTGACATTATCGTGTATTCAAACCAGAACAGAACAAAACAACAGGAGGCTAAAATCAAACTGCCACAGTTTTCTCAGAACAATAACATAAGAGTTCCCGAGAGTTCCGATGGCTACTACGTCACTGTGTTCCCCAGTCATACAGAAAATCAGAAAACTTCAAATCGTAAATATAACACACTGGGGGGCATGGAGTTTAACTCGGGAGACATTGAACTAGAGGTTCCAGGAGAAAAGGATGTCAAGGGGTCAACATTCTTCTTCTCTGACCTTGTCTAACCTTCAACTTCAACATATATATATATTTGTTTTTTCTTTTTGATTTGTATGTTCTAATAACTTGTTCTGATTTACCATGTAAAAAAAATGTATAAAATTGTATGTTTTATTTTATTTTGTCTATGAAGCTGCGTCTGTGTCTTGGCAGTTATGATTATTTTTGCAGCATTTTTGCACTTAACACATAACACATGTATTTATACTATGTATTTATGTATTATGTTTTACATGTTGGCTGGAGTATTTAGTTTCGCTTTAAAAAGAGGATGTTACATTTTTTCTCAAAATAATAAAAATGTTGAATGGTGGGATGTTACATTTTTTCTCAAAATAATATTAAAAAATGTTGAATGGTTAAGTGAAAACATATTGTTTTGAAGTTAACTTTGTCTATCGCAATAACGTGAACATATTAAACCTACTGACTTATATAAAAAAAACAAAGTCACAACTTCATCTGATTGGTTTGTGTTTTGAAGAATAAAATATTAATTCACCATGGATCTTTTACCTTATGTTTCCTTTAATATATCTGCACTTTCTATCTAATATATATGTACTGTATATACATTATTTTTCTTCTATATATATATATTATATAATGTATACATATTTAAGTGTCGAAAATGCAGTTACTGGAGGCCTGCGTAGAAATAAATGGCGAGGTTTAAAACGGGGTCCGAGAAGAACCTTCTCGATGTTATATGCTAATTTAGCAGCATGCTCAAATCACATTAAAACCTTGAAAACGTTCCCGACAAGACGCAGTCTGTTTTTTTCTACAACATAGATTTTACAAAGACCGCGTTCTTTTATTTATTTATTTTATAAAGTTCCTGCATATAAGTATGTAACATAACGATTTTAAAGAGTACTATTTAGTAGTATAGTATAGTAGTATTTCTCAAATAACTGACATTTGTTATTGGTCGCTATTGTTCCTACTTAAGACCACAAGATGGCGCTTAGTGACTCCCTATGTTAATGACGTCATAAGTGAGCGCCAGCACGCTGTCGCTCTCATCACGACCTTTGCTGTGGCTATAGTAGGAAACAGTAATTTATATATCTGTATATATATATAAAACAGTTTTATGATGTTTATTTATGAGTGAATTATTGTTCGGAATAGTTTTAGTGAAAGTACTGGACACAACGATCGGAGATGTTTCGTTTGTCTCTGCTGGTTTGTAGCAGAGGAGTCGCTCAAAGGGTGAGGAAGTAAACATTTAGATACATTGACATTGGGAATATACGTAATCGTTTTTATCTGCTAACTTTATGTTTAATCTAGTATAATATGAACAGTACCTAATAATACAGTCAAATTAATTATTTCAACGTCCTTGGCTTCAAAGCGGAAATATATTTTGGAAGTTTGGAAGAAGTTCAATTACATTCCTGTTTTGTTGTTCCATCTCCTGCTGTTATTTTTAATGTCATTAACCCGGCTCTTTCTCCTCAGTTTTCCTCCTCATTTTCTAGTGTGAACAACCTGCCTCCAAATCTACTGCTGCCCTCCAACCTGGTGGATCCTGATCGATTAAGTGAGTCTGAGGCTGCGGTGACATACTTTAAACATTATCTTCTTCTACCTTCAAACACCGTGTTGTTCATTTTCAAGTGTCAAACACTTACAGGACTCTGTTGTGTTCCTCCTCCAGAGCGACCCCCTCCCTCTGCAGACTGCTCCCTGCCCCTGCTGAGACAGTGTGATGCTGTGGTTCCTGCTCACCTGAGCCCCATCCACACCTGGGTAGAGAGTCTAGAAGATGTAGACAGTGAGCCGTCGGGCGTTGCTGAGCTTCACCCTGACGTCTTTGGGGTACCACCCAGGTAAGACGTTGTCTTGTTAGAGTAAAAATTAGTCGCTTGTTAGAGTTAGAGTAAAAATTAGTCGGTTCCATAGTGTAGATCTGAAAACTAAAATTTGAAGCCTAAAAAAAACATTTCTTAAAATCGGCTCAGATAAGTATGAGTTTTAATATGTAAATGTGTTCCGTTTTTTTCCCCCTCATCACAGACTCGACATCCTCTACGATGTTGAAAAGTGGCAGAGAAATTTTAAGCGAATCGTAAGTTTTTAAATGCCCTGGTTCTGTGGTGGTGAAAACCGTGAATGAACTTTTATGAAATCTCCCAATGTAGCAAAGTTCGGACTAGTTGTATGGTTCACATGGCTAAGAAGTCTTTCATTTTCCTCCCAGAGCCATGCTCACACTAAGGTGAGGTCGGAGGTCAGGGGAGGAGGCCGGAAACCCTGGAAACAGAAGGGCAGCGGACGAGCTCGACACGGAAGCATCCGGTCACCGCTGTGGAGAGGAGGTGAGTGCTGGTGATGTTACTCTGACCTTTAACCTTTATCCTGACTCGCATGGTTTAATCTCCACCTATCTATCTAGTAAATAATGTAGTGAACGTCTACTCCACCTATCTATCTAGTAAATAATGTTGTGAAAGTCTAGTGTGAACGTCAGGTGTGAACGTCAGGTGACGTCCACTAACACCTAACATCGTTGTAGTGTGAACCGACCTCTGACAGCTCTGTGGTGTTTCTCTAAGGTGGAGTCAGCCATGGACCCAGGGGACCCACCAGCTACTACTACATGCTGCCCATGAAGGTGCGAGTACAGGGACTGAAGGTGGCGCTGAGCTCCAAGTTGACGCAGGTCAGTGGAACTGAGGTCACACTTCATCACGTTTGTCTCCAGGAGAAAGACATTTAGTTGTTTTCATGCAGTTTCACTCTCCTCTGCCTGAGTAAATATCCTACAGTGAGAATGACATCAACTGTGAAACGGAAACATCGTTTAATTACATTCATATACAGTGACGATGGATGGAACTTTTATTAATCCCTCGGGAGTTTCGTCTCATGTATGAATGTAAACATCAGGGAATTTTAATAATAATAAAACTGCATCACTTTATAGGAGACATAATGATACCTTAAAAAAATACTGTTTAATTCACTAAGACCTGCTGATTTCTTATCCCTATTATTTGCATTATATGTAAAAAAAAAATTAGTGTTCTTTAGTGCAAAATAAAGAACACTAAAAAAAAATTAGTGTTCTTTATTGCAAAATTTTATTCTCATTTTTAATCTCATAACATAATTATGAACCAAATACGCTATTATTTGTTTTACTTTACACCTTCCAGATACTGTTCATAAAATATTTAAACATATCATATTCAAATATTACAAATTAAAACACACATACATAATGTCATTAATAATATCATTAAAACACACATACATAATGTCATTAATGTCACTAGTGTGTTTCCTGAGCCTGTTCAAAACAAAAGATTGCAGTTCTGTGCTTGTCCTGTAGGATGTGTGTTAATGACGTGATGCTGAGGACACGGCCAAAACTGATGGCGTATTTTTTAACCAATATAAATCTGTATTTAAATTGTTTTTCTCTGTTTTTCTCCCAGGAGTACCTCCACATCGTGGACTCCCTGGACATCCCCACCCCAGACTCTCAGTTCCTCATGGACCTGATCAGACAGAGACACTGGGGACACTCAGTGCTAATAGTTGATGTGTGAGTATCATCAACAAGGTCTCTAAATCTTTTTTTTTAAGTTAATGTTTTCATTTGCTTCTGACTGACTTTGTGATTGTTGTGGTTTCAGAGGTGAAGAGTTTCCAGAAAACATTCTCCAGGCCACTGCCAACCTGAAGACGGTGAACATTATCCCAGCCATCGGTGAGTTGACAGAAGATTTTAAAGCCATTTATATGACGGTAAACACAGCTCTGTTGTTGGTAGGTGTAGACTGGCTCAAGAACGACAGCAGCAGCAGCACAGTATTTCCAAAACAAAACCGACTTCGTCAGAGAATCTTTGTTCAAATGTTTAGTAAAATTTGTCTGAATTCACCAACGTAGACCGTTAGCTGAATGTATCATGGATCCAGTACCGTCCAGTTGACAGAAACAGCAGGGGGTGCTACTGCGGCGTAAAAGAATCCTAGCGGTGAAACTAGTCTTCTGGTGACATAGCTACCGGGCGTTACTTTTTTACCCGGGGCACATTGGCAGGTTATCCTGCCTCAAACCCAAAATCTGCCACCCATGGAGAAATGACACTTTAACACTATGTCTCCTGTGTGTGGCTCCTCCTACAGGCCTGAACGTCCACAGCATGCTGAAGCACGAGTCGGTCGTCCTCACTCTCCAAGCCGTCAAGTTCCTGGAGGAGAAGCTGCTGTGGCACGACGAGCGCTTCGCTCCTCTGTACCCGTTCAACCTGCCCTACTCTGACCTCCCCTGAAGAACCTGGTATTTACTGTAACATATCCACTCGCTGCAGACAACCTGCTCTTTTTTTTGTAAATGTGTTTATTAAGTTCATTATCAAAAAGATGAATAAATAACAAGTGATCCAAAAAAAATAAAATTGTCTGTAGTTCTGTAGAAAAACTGTGTCTAAAATCTGTAGCTGTATTTGTGAGGGAGGAGCCCGTTGGCCAGGTCGTTCCTGATTTGCCAGCGCAGAGCCGAGCGTTTCTTCTCCGTTGGCACAACGTAGGTGTTTGGTTCGAAGACTCTCCGAGGTTTAGGCTGCAGCACAGACACGGAACCAACAGACGTTACTGCTTACGTGTTCTGATATGTATATGTATATATGTGTGTATATGTATGCATGTATACTCTATATGTATATATATATACACATTATAGATTTATTATATATATATATACATATATATTGTATATTAGAAAAACATAAATAAACTTAGTACTCACTGGAGGAGGCTGGTATGCAAGACGGTCCTATAAAGAGAGAAAAGTCATGAGAACAACAATCAAAAAAGTTTTTGAAAATTCTTTGCACAAAAACAAAACATCTTTAAAAAAAATCATCTGTTTTTCCATAGAGGATCAAAGGCCGTTCCTTTGTTCTGGTCGTACCCTGATCTCCCAGCGCAGATCTCTTCTGTCCTTCTCTCCAGGGAGTTTGTACATTTCCCAGAACTGTTTGTACTCAAAATACCTGCAGACGTTGAACAAACACTGTTTCAGGAACTTTCCGTGCGATCAGGATTAGTGTGAATAATCTAACGTACACACGTCGTTATCATTACACTAATTATTTAGCGGTTTCTGATGTTTACATCGACAGTAAAGTCAAACCTCAGTGGGTCGATCTTACCTGCTGACTGGATCAGACTTCTTCATGTTCTGCTGAGTCATCACAGGTCGAATGACTGAAACATGGAACGTGGAAAGTGAATTCTAGTTGCTAAAAAAAGCTCCGATATAAAACCTAATTCATGAATTGATTAACATCATGTCGACAGCATTCAAACACTGGAACACACAAAAAAAACTAGTTTTTTCTTTGTTATTGTTCCCAAATCAGAATTTTTCTAAATGTCTAGAGAACTTAAAATATTTCAGCACATTCACAAATGTTCATAAACAATTTTTGATACATTTGACAGAAGACTGAGTGGCGAAGCGAGAGCCTCTGCTCAATAATGAGAGGTAGTGGCTCCACCTGGTGGAAAGCCGTGACCTCTGACCTGTGTGAAATGTGCTCCATCCATTTCCTATAATCAATCAATGATTGAAAGATTGTAAATAAGAAGATGATTTTTCAGACTTACAAGATTTGGGTTTGGGCCTGAGGTCACCTTCTGCGTGACTCTGTTGGAAACGTGACAAAAAAATATCTTGAAACACACGTTTACATGCAGCAGAATGAGGAGTTAAATGTTATAACGTTTACATGCAGCAGAATGAGGAGTTTAATGAGTTAAATGTTATCAAACTACCCACCATGCCTCTGATGTAAGATTCAAATGCGCTCCTCATCGCCCCCTCTGTCTCGGAGCTGAGGTCGTTCTCTGCGTCAGAGTCGCGGTGAGCAGGTGCCGACAGATCCAGCTCTGCCAGACGTTCTTCCACTGAACTGGCAGCTTCTGTGGAAGAAGAACATCAGAAACATTGAAGGAGTTTCTCCTCAGAGGAGTTCAAGTCCCGGCCGTGAACATCATGCAGTTTCTACATTGGTTCGAGTGCATTTTGCCCCCGGCGTGAGCTGGTCCTCGACCACAGTGTAAACAGACTCTGATGCTGATGTGACAACATGATGAAGTCTGAGGGTAAACCTGGAGACATTTACCCTTCGGTCTGAGCTTCTCCTCTAACACGCCGCTGCTCGTCATCCAATCAGAATCCACTTCAGAGTCAAGAAACCTGATGTCCTTGTTGCTCCCAGACCCAGATGAATCTTCAGGATCATATCTGTCCTCAGCTCTGTCCTCCACTCGATCGTCACCTCTGAGGTCCAGCATGTTCTCGTCCACTTTTTCACATCCAGTTCCTCCTGTAGAACCTCTGTGATGTTCTACATCGCTCTCAAATCCAATAGATCCATCTCGGTGAAGACCAGACTTCTCGTCGTCTGCCTGGTCTTTGTGGTTATGTGGTCGGATGTTTGACATCTCCGCCTCGTCGTCACGTGGACTGTCGTGTACACAATATGTCCTCAAACAATCAGGGTTCTCCTCGTCTCCGTCCTCTCCAGTCCTGTGGAACTCTGGGGCAGATGCAAGTTCGATGTCAAACCAGTTGAAGCTGCTGAATGAAAGTGCGTCTTCGTCTCCTTCGTCTCTGGTCTCAGAGAGATCTCCTCGACTGTCTTGGTCATCTCTGTGGTCCTCAGCCTCCTGTTCGTCTGGCCTGTAGGTGCCGTAGCCTGAGGTCATCAGACTTGGGGCTGGACTGCTGTGGTTGCTGGTGCACCTCCGCTCCACTTCCCATCCAACATGGGCCACATTTTCTGAGCGTTCCACAAAGATCTGGAGATTGAGCTCAGCATCTGCCGGAGCCTCGAGAACAAACTTCTGTTTCACTATTCTGGATTCATTTCCATGAACGTTTTCTTCGACTACGTCCTCAGTGTCCTCTTCTTCAGTGTGACTTCCTCCGGTTGCTACACCAGGTTTGGAAACGTCTTCACTGATGGCTTGATATTCCTCCTCCTTTTCATTGTCGTCGCTCACATCTCCAGATGTTTTCTGATCTTCTGCCTCAGCTACTGTTTTGTCCCACCACTCACCGTCTTCCTCTTCATCTTTGCTTAAATCCTTCTGAAAGACGTCTTCACTACATCGTACCTTCTGTCCACTCTCTTCGTTTCTGAAATGTTCTCGCTCTTCCAAACCTTCGTCTGCATCTAAATCGTCCTTGAGAAAGTCTTCTGACTGAGGCGGAGATGTGGAGTCTTTCTTATTGACCACCACGTCACTCTCTTCATCCTCATCGTCACCATTTTGTCCTTCTTCAGACCCTCCATCTTCAGACCCTCCTTCTTCCCCTCCAGTATCACATTTTTCTCCCTCAGAACTTTGGTCCTCCTCAGAATCCACCCAGAAGGAGTCTTCTGTCCCAGCTTCATATTTGGAGTTTGTATTTTTTACATCCCGTTCACTGTCCTCTTCATCATCACCATCTTCTCCTTCTTCTGAGCTCTCAGGTTCCTCTGAATCCTCTGAGAAAGAGTCTTCTGCCTCAGCTACAGTTTTGGAGTCATCTTCATCGTCGCCCTCTTCACTCTCCTCCTCACCATCGCCTCCGTCTTCCTCAGATGTGTGGCAGGACTCCTCTTCCTCAGATACAGAATCAACGTCTTCCTCCTCAACACTTCCATCAGTCAAACTAGATCCTGATAGGTTCTCCTGGAGCTCGTTTGTCATAGCAACCGGCGTAAAATATTCTTTTCCGATGTTCTCCTCTGTCTTGTAACCACGATCTGCGATGTTTGAATCCAGACCAGATCCTCCTTCAGGACCAACGTTCTCTGTACGGTTCTCAGGGTTTTCCTTCCCTGTGGCATTACCAAGAGCCTCATCCACCTTTGCTTCACGTCCAGCATCTCCTGTATGTATCTCCACCTCCTCGTCCTCCTCCTGCTTCTCATCCTCAGTCCAAAAGGCAGAGCTGAGTGAACTTTTGTCGTCGCTGCCACCGTCACTCACGCCGTCGTACATTTTGTACATGGTGACGGCTTCCTGTGTATGTGGAGCAGTGAGTGATCAGTGAGCAGATGGATTAGAGCGGAGCTAAGAGGATTGGGTCCGTTTCCTGGAGATTCACGGAAGCGTCTTTGTGCTTAGACAGCACCCCCTTCTGGCGACTATAGATATTGTAACCATGTCGCCTCATTTTTTTTCTCCATTTTGATCAAAATACAGTATTATTATCGTGAACTTTAAAAAAAACCCAAAGTACTTACATTGGTACAAGACAACATAATATACAATTAACATAATATACAATCCACTTGAAAATGCAATTAACATTTTGTTAGTTAAATCTGATTTACTTACTTAACTTAACAGTTTTAACACAAGGACTTTTTTTCAATTTTGGAAATTTTTTTTTTTTTTGGAATTTTTTAAATGCATCAGAATTTGTCAGGTTAATATATCTTTTTACTTGTAAGTGGAAAGACAACTTAATACATTACCTGAGTCTTCACTGTAGAACGATTCATCGTAGACCTGAGACTGTCCTTTATGTTTCCTGTTGGACAAAAATATTTGTGCGTCACATAAGTAATTGCCTCAGGTTCTAAACACATCACTGCAATCACTGAAGTTACACTTCAGCCACCTATCAATTCAGCCATGTGGATTTACTATAGCTGCTGCTACTACTTTCCAGGACGATACAGTGTTTAAGACCTGAGCTGAATGAAAGGCCACAGATATAAAACGATGGAGACTGAGTCTGGATCTACTGTGAACATCACTGCAATCACTGAAGTTACACTTTAGCCACCTATCAATTCAGACATGTGGATTTACTATAACTGCTGCTGTCTTCAAACTGACCTGAGAACTTTTCTCTTGATGAGGCGTCTCCCCTGGTTGTCTGGGGATGATGTGTAGCTGTCTGTGATGGTTGGGTTTAGTGTGTCCTCTGGCTCCTCGGGATCTGGCTCCACCTGCAGCCTGCAGGGGGCGCCTGCAGGCAGCCTGAACTTTGGAGCCACTGAGTGCTGTGCGTAGGAATCAACGAACCTCTGCTGCTGACCGTAGTCTCTGTTCTGACATGTGGTGAGTACCTGTGTATTTAATACAAATGTTATGGTCACAAATACCTTGTCACTGCCTTAATCCTGGACATACTGGCTAATATCACACCCTTACATATAAGATATGTTTAGATAATATAGTTTTATTAGTTTGAGCTGATAATGTACAAAATTAAATACTAACCAAACATTGTCAAACATCATTGAAAAATGGTTTTTTTTTCATTTATTACTTATATTATTTTCTTCTTCATTTGTCTGTGTTTTATACAATTTCTTATACCAAACAGTGTTTACTGTCACCATTTTTTTTTATGGTGTGCAGGGAACGGGAATAAATAAACTTTATAAAAAAAATACTAACTTGTTTCTCATGATCCCCCTTCGGTGAATGCAAAAAGAATCCTTCATCGTGACTTTTAATGTAGCACTGACCAACTGCAAAGAGAAATTGTTAATTTAATGTATGTACTATTTGTACATTTTAAAAAGTACAAAGATAAAACTTTTAAATATGATTCAATTTTTTTTCTGTTCTGACCTTTTTCTTTGATGTAGGCAGGCGGACTTGGCTTAGATGTGGCCACAGATGGTTGTGTGACGTCTACGTGGTGGCCTGAAGCAGTAGTCCAATCTTTACACTGGATCAGATCATCTAGATCTGTCAGGATGGAAAATAAAGAACATTAAGACTAAGAACATTTTTGACAGATCTGTTTGTGCACAATATATGTATGAATTCATCCGACAGGCTGAGACACTCATTCAAATTAGATTTCAGTAACAAAAGCATCAAAACAAAATATCTTACTGACCCCTTTGTCTGCTGTAAGCAGAAATAGTTTGCCGAGATACAACTGCAGGAGGTTTGACGTTTTTATGGTCTCCTGAAGCAAAGGATTTCCAGTCTCCATTTTGTATCAGTGCATCAAGATCTGACAGAACACAAAACATTCAACAGTTTAAAGTATTGTGCATACATTTGATTTAAAATACGTTTTACTGTGTACAATAACAAAGTAAAAAAAATACAAAAGTTTACTGTGAAAAGAATGGGTTTGATGATGATTTTATTGCCTAACCTTGCTTGAATTCATGGAGTTTTTGTCTCGGGATGTTCCTGTAGCCCAGAATCGCCAGTTGTTCTTGTATTTCCTCTTCTGAGAAATCCAGGTTGTCCATGATATTCCCAGGTTTCAGTTACGTAGTTGGAGTGAAAACTAACAGAGGGAAAAGGAAACATTTTTTTCTCGAATGTGGGCTTAGTTGGTAAAAAAAACATGAATCAATGTTTATTTTAATATTAGGCTTTTAGAACTCGGTTACGTAAGCATGCTGACGTAAACACATCATTTAAACATATATATATTTAAAGGGCGTCTGGTCGCCTGAACATAAACAGACGATGCTAAAACGAGCGAGGCTAGCGTACAGCCGAAACAAAAACACAGCTGTTGCTAAATATCGGGAAACACGTTTGCTCACCTTTTCGAATTTAATCTACGGTTTGTCCATTGCTGTGAATTAAAAGGCTAAGTCTTTAGCCTTATTGTTGTTTACAAATTGACACAACACCAAGACAACGACGGTTAACAAGCTTTAAAAGTGACGCCTGCGTCCATGAACTTCCGGTGTTTCTTCTCCCGACAAACATCCGTTCAAAAAAGACAGACTGCTGCCCTCTACTGGCTCAAATTGATATTCATTTTGCATGCGTGTATTACCGAGACATACTCAGACCTAGAGATATTAAAATTTAAAAATACCATTTTTTATTTTTTACCAATTTTGTGTAGACATTTTTTTTTAAATTTTTATTTTTTACCAATTTTGTCTAGAAATTAAAATATATATATTTTTTTTATTTTTTACCAATTTTGTCTAGACATTTAAAAAAAAAATTTACTTATTAACACCTTACCTGCTTTATTAACACAATGACAAGAGAGCTCATTTTTTTACACCAGATACGCCACAGTTGTTGGCGTTCAGGAGGACAATATGAGGGTAAAGTTGGGTTTAGGACTAAAATTGTTACTTTTAATTAAGGCCTAAACCTAGGCTTATCATTATTTTAATGCTTCATTTGAATGAAGGTCAGACATTCCACCTTTTTAGAGCAGAGAACTTTTTCCTCCTGCTTCTCCTCCTCCTCTTCCTCCTCCTCTCGGCCTCTCATGAATAATCAGGACACACCTTACATCCTCCTCCTCCAGCAGGCGGTGGGGCTTCAGTCAAGGGGGCGACTGACAGGTGGACCGTCCGTAAGCTCCGTCTCTCATCTGGGTAAAAAGGGGACCGAGTACGTTCCTCCTTGGCCGTGGGAAAACCATGGCTGCGTCCAGGATCTATCGGGAATCCCTGCTGGTGTTTTTTCTGCAAGTCCTGCTGATTTGCTCTGCTCAGGTGAGACACAGGAGCTGAGTGATGGGCTTCCAGAGCCATCTTTTACCTTGGTGCTCTCTTCTGACTGATGCCAGATAACAATTCACCTGATTACGACCAGTTTCCTTTGGTCTGGTGGACTGCTTCTTGTATAGTAATAAAAAAAAACGTGTTATACGAGTATGTAATATTGGTAGTTAAGTCAAGAACTTCAGTCACCAGCTTATTTGTATACAGCACAGAAGCTAGGAGGAAAATGACTTATTGTTCTGCCTTGTTCGGATATTTTAATAATGTTGACAGTGATTTTTTTTTCTTGAATATTTGTCTGTGTTCAGATTCATATTTTCCTTCCGACTAATTCTAAGAACTCCTACAGAATTGTTTGTATGGAACTGTTGCAGAGTTTTGAAACATGATACATTTTAAAGCTAAAGTAAATTTCTTTTCACTGCGACTTCTGTTCCCGTCTGTGTTTACACACCTGGCACCGGTCAGACGCCGACAGCAGCAGTAATATGAACACACACATTTACTTAGTGCTGGTATAATGACACTGTAATAGGAACACAGATTGAATTCCACGACCTTTCACCCGAACAATAAGACTCTGTGTGAGCAGCAGCAGCAGCAGCAGCATCACCAGCCCTGAATAATATTTACAGTTGATTTTTAGTCCGAAAAACTTGAAAGAGCAAAGTTTTTTAATGTGTTGTTTTTATTCTGCAGAGGGGCCCGGTCGGTCCCAGGGGCCCTCAGGGGCCACCAGGAGCAGCTGGCGTACCGGGGGTGGACGGCATTGATGTGAGTCACTGTTTGTCATCTGTTCCTGGTCATATCAAGGTTGACAAGTTCACACAGTGTTCATGTAATTCAGGGAGGAACAAACGTCACTTTGGATGTAACACTTCAACGAAACAGTTAAAATAGTAATATTTTAAAAAATGATTTTTTATTTCCTACCAGAGATATTTAAACTTTACATAAGTTCTTAGATGGATCCTTAAGGAAAGCTTTACTTGTTGAATTGCAGCCAGATTCACATTTCAAATTTTAATGGTAAAATTCACCTTTTTTCTTTTCCACAGATCTAAACCTGTGGAGTTAAATGAGAAGCATGTATTTTTTAAGCATAACTTTTTTGTAGCTCAAACAGTTTTATCGTTGGCCATACTAATAATAATACACTGACAGAATTGTATCCACTACTCTAGTATGACATCATCACAACCACAGACAGTGATTACTGACACCAATTCAGTTACAGGAATCTATGTGTGTATGAGATCATCTACGTTATCTGTTACGATATCTTGTTTTTGTGTCCACTCAGGGTGACAGAGGAGTGGACTCCACAGTGGTCGGTGGACCAGTGAGTACCAGTAATACTGTGATAACTGTCTGAAACCTCGATCTCAATGAATACTTTCTTTTATTTTAAATGAACTAAAAAAAGGAATAATTCACACACAAACACACACACATTAAAAAAGGAATAATTCACACTGACACACACCTGTGTTTGGAGTATATAAATATAATTACTGAATAAATGGGCTAAAACATTCATTGATTTTCTGTTCCAGGGCCCTGACGGTGACAACGGCAGAGATGGAGCACCTGGAGCTGCAGGCCTTCCAGGCGCAGACGTAAGTGAAGGTGAAAGATGGGAGTTTTATCAGGAACCAAACACTTTATCTCCAGTTCTGGCCCGTTGTAAATATTTCATACTGCTTTAAAAAAACACAGCTGAATTCATCCTGTGGACCTTCCTGTTGAAGCCTCCGCTGAATGAGGGTCTTATTGGGTATGAAAGAGCACAGAGCGACCGTGCTGGACGTCTGCCGCTGTGTGAGCGGTTTGTCTTGGCGTCCACTGAATCATAAATGCGGTCCTTCCTTGAATAAATCGCTCTATTTAGAGCAAAGTGTCACGGAGCTTCCTGACAGAAACAGGAGTCTCATTGTGAGGCGTGGAGGGGTGTGAGGTGGGGGGAGGCGGCTGGGGGGCCACGCTGCTCAGATATGGCAGCCGAGAGAGGAGCGTATGCTGGGAGCAGCGATGGAGAATGGACTCAGTGTTGTGCTGTCGACTGTGTAAAACAGACGGACTCAGAGTGGGATTTGAGCGATACAGAAAAAGAAATGTGATGTTGAAGTGTGAGCATGGAGGACTCTAGAGGGCGCTGTTTCTGAGGTTAAAGTCTCACGAAGTGTTCCGTCTGGATGCTGATGCTGCCTTTGACCAAGAGGAGTCATATTAGAGTTTGATCTATGAAAGGGGGCGGAGCCAAGGTCCCATCCTTCCACTAACAGATTTGTTATGATTTGATGAAACGAAGATAAAAGATCTGAAGTTTGACTGATCAATCAAACGCCTGTTTTTTCACCAGTTTCAAAGGTGATAAAAATGTGGTGTGGATTTGATTTCCGACTACTATAATGTTTTTACAACCTGACGGCTTCATCCAGCTTCTGTTTACAGTAGAATCTCTGTGAAAAGCAAACTAATTCAACCCAACATCCAACATGGTACTAACAGAACCCAACTCTAATGTAAAGGAAATGATCCAGTCTTTAGAACTGTCTACTGTCGATCATTTCTGACTCTGTTTGACGTCTTCGTAGGGACCGCTTGGACCACCAGGAGACGCAGGACCAGTGGGTTTGAAGGGACCTAAGGTACCACCTCCTGGGTCTCAGTTTTGTTTTTTTTAAAAGGACAGAAACGTCATTTGAAAAGCTGATGTTTGTTTTTCTTTCCATCATATTTTCAGGGAGAACCTGGTCCACGTGGACCTCCTGGAGAACCTGTGAGTAGATAACAAACTCTAGACTCTCTAGAACATGACGACATCTTCTTCACTGATCTGTGGTTTCTGTCGACCAACAGGGTGTCGGACCAGACGGACTGGACGTGAGTATCTCTAACGTGGATTCACGTATCTGTGGTCTGAAGGTGTGAATATGATAATTACCACTTCCTGTATAGTGACACGCCCTGTGATGATGTCAGAGGGCGTTACCAGATGACCTTTGTGACCCCCAGAGGACACTTTAGCATTAGCATTGTCAATGATACATGTCACTTATCATACCTTTGAACTTTAAATGAATAAGAATTAAATGGTTCTGGATGGATGATGGATGATGGATGATGGATGATGGATGATGGATGATGGATGATGGATGATGGATGATGGATGATGGATTATTGATGATTGATAATGGATGGATGATGGTTGGATGATGGTTGGATGATGATGGATGCATGAACATATCTCATGAAATCAGAAATCATTAAAGTGATTCCTTCAGGGTATTCCTGGTACAGATGGGCTTCCAGGAGAGTTGGGCCACGTCGGCGCTCCCGTGAGTTTCCTGTTTCCTGTTTCCTGTTTCACATTTAAAAAGTATATTGTTATTTACAGCTGTGTACATTAACAAATGGACGTGTTTATATCTGTGACAGGGGGCGAGGGGAAGGAGGGGGTCAGTTGGTCTGCCTGGAGCTGCAGGACCTCGGGTGAATATCAATAAATCTGGTTTTATTGATTTCCATTAAATCTGAGATGGTTTTGTCGTTTTTAAATCTTAACTCATGAAGTGATCTTTTTTTTACACACCTTTCTGTCCAGGGACCTCCAGGAGTGTATCAAGGAGAGGACCTGGTGAGTTTGATGCCCAGGAGGGAAAAAAAATATTTGAAACCTAGTCAGTGTTTGTTATTGTAATACCATCATGAAACATCCAGCATTGAACTCTAGATGAATCAGTGGAGCCTCCTAGTGGCAGGGCTCTTCCATGACCTCAAATAGGCTGTTATGTTTTCCAGTGTCCCAACGCCTGTCCCTCTGCTTTGACTGGACATCCTGGTCTTCATGGCATGAAGGTCTGGTCACTCCTTTAATCTAAAACTAATGTAAAATAATGAATACTTTTTTTCTGTAGTTTTACGATACACAGTAATATTTATTTATCTCTGTCTGTAGGGTCACAAAGGAGTCATGGGTGAATCTGGTGAACCCGGGCGTCAAGGTCACAAGGTAACGTGACGAGATTCTTACCTTCTAGCAGTCGAATCCCAAACCTGAGCAGGTCATGACATGAGTGGCTTACATTTACCCTCAGGGAGAGGAAGGAGACCAAGGGCTGATGGGAGACGTCGGCGCTCAAGGACTACCAGTAAATTATTTTACTCTGAACTCCAAATGTTTTATTTTTTATTTGTCAAACGTGTTAACATAAAACATTTGTGTTCGTCTTCTCTCCTCCGCTGGTTGACTTCAGGGTCCAGGTGGACCGAGAGGCCTTCCAGGAATAATAGGCTCAAAAGGCGATCGGGTGAGTTCTGAGAGTCACCAGATAAAAATAAAAATAAAGTTAGAAATTTATCTGTTATATCAGGTGATGAACCAGGAAAAAAAAGGCAAAAATGTTTGAAATACTTAACATCTAGTTCAGTAGAAAAATAAAAAATACTACATACACATTTTGTGTCTGTCATCAGCCAACATAAATACCAAAACAAGAATATCTTATGAAACCTGCTTAAATTGAACAATAACATTTGAATAATAAAAGTAAGGACAAATACAATTTAATATTTAAAAAATATCAATTATAATATCAATATTTTTTTGTGTAACTTGATTTGAAAGTTCACTGAGAATATTTCTTTTACCAAATTGTTATAGATTTGGAATAATAATAAATTAATCATTATTTAATAATTATGTTTCCTCTTAGAAAAAGTAAAATATTATTTAACAACTAAAGCATCACTAATGTCTCTACTTTTTTTAATTTTCCTTCACAAACAGGGGCCTCGTGGTGCACCTGGGGACGTCGGCCCCCGGGGGGGCCAGGGAGGCCCGGTGAGTCTCCATCTTTTATTCACCTTCACGGCAGATACATCACTGTTTCATCTGTTTATCCATTCAAACTGGTCTGTTTTTTTTTTTTTTTTTAGGGAGACAGGGGTCGAAGAGGGGCCGTGGGTGAGCTGGGGCCTAAATGACGTAAAAGTCATGCATAAAGGCTGAAATGCTTAAATTCTTTAGTGTCATTTTCTACCCCATCTATTGGGAGAATTTGGGTATTGCAGGGAAAAGGCAGAAGTATAATGATAGTATAAATAAATTATATAATTTGGAAAAGTTTGGCGGGCCGGATTGAAAAACTGAACGAGCCGCATCCGGCCCCCGAGCCTTAGTTTGCCCATGCCTGGTCTATTATATATTTGTGTATTATATATACAGTATGTACATATATATAAGGACATTATTATGATTATATATCAGTTACAGTGATTAGCCTTTAAATACTTGATATTAACTCTTTATTTCTTACATGTTTTTTTTTGGTAGGGGGATCCAGGTCCACAAGGAATCAGAGGGGTGCCAGGTCCAAAGGGAGAACCGGTGAGAGACACATAAAAAAGCCCCAGTTTATTCAAATCAATAATCAATAAAATAACATTAAATAAATGGATGTTAACTTCTTTTTAACAACAGGGTTTACCAGGTCCTGACGGACGTGAGGGAATTCCTGGACTGCCAGCATCCAAAGTACTTTGTTTTTATTTATTTATTTTTACAAATAGCAGCAATATTTTGAATATTAAAAGTTAGAGAGGTCCGATATTATTGGCCTGATGTTAGAATCGTTATCGTTTTTCCCTCCTTTGGTCGATATTGGAGTTGGAAATTTAATGTCTGGACAGTATCGACATATTGGATATCGGCAAAAAGTTCATATCGGACATCTCTAATTAACATTTTTTTTATATATATATTTATAAACAGCCATAGATACAGCAGTAATCCTGCTCTTATTTTTAGGGTCTTCCAGGGAAAAACGGGGCTCCAGGTGATGCTGGTCTACCAGGATTTTCTGTGAGTGACCTCTGACCCCTAACTCCTGATTGACAGCTGTGCATCTTTAACTCGTACATATTTGTCAACGTTGACCGTGTTTGTTGTGATGCAGGGTGTACCAGGAGCTTATGGACCAAAGGGGCACAGTGGTGTGAAGGTACGATGGTCGTGATGTCATCGTCCACTCATTATAACGACACACACACGTGGTTTCCTGATAAGTTAACTCTATGTTTGTCCACTCTGGTACCAGGGGGTGTCAGGTGACCCAGGAGTGGTGGGGCTGATGGGCTCTCCAGGGAAAGAAGTGAGTCTTTTTTTGCCCAAACAAAAATGAACCGAAAAATAACAAAAGAAAAAACCTAAATTTTAATAAAACATTTTTTTTTGCTTTAGTTTATTGCTTATTTTTTCTGCTTTGCTGTGGCTACATGTGGACTCCCATTAGCTTGTTAGCTTTGTAACGAGCTAATAGCTTGTTAGCTTGTTAGCTTTATGACAGAGGTGGTTTAAATGGTTTAAATGTGTATTTCCAGGGGGAGCGTGGTGAGCAGGGAGAAGTTGGACCGGTCGGACCCAGAGGAGGACCAGTGAGTCTCTGAAAGTACCAAACATGTACTTCTGAATACTGCATTTCATACGTATATTTTATACTTCTTTCATCTCAGGGTGCAAGGGGAGAACGAGGGCCTGAAGGACCAATCGGATTACCAGGAGCCAGGGTAAGACGTCAGTCAACCATAATAACAAGAAATAACAATAAATCATTACATATAGAATATATATATAGATCTGCATATATTTATATATACAGAATATATACTGCATATGTCAATTGACTATATTCCCTAATATATATCCAAACTTAATTTTCAGTAGATATACACTATGCACATGCACAGACGCTTGTCGGAGGTGATACGTGTCACATGTATTGTAAGAAGTGTAACTATTATAAATATTATCAGGATATACTCTTAGCCCACATGTGTCCAACTTAAGGCCCGTGGGCCAAATGCGGCCCACCAAGTCACTTTGTATGGCCCCGCAGGAGCTAAAAAAAAGTTTCTAAACCTAATAATTTTTTTTTATAACACAGCAATGAAGAATATTTGTAACTTGAAAAATAATAATTAGTAGTAATAGTATTAGTGTAGTACAGCTGTGTATTAAAGTAACTGTGTCATGGAGATCATCATTAGCAGGTTGATTGTTCCTGTCTCAGACTTCTTGACCAGGATTGGTCAGCATCTGTCAAATGAATATTTACCAGCGAAGCCTGAAAGTGTGTCACTTTCATATAAAATGGAGGATCTTGGTGAACTTGTGTCCTCGCTGTACTCCGTAGACCTGTGCGCAGGGCATGAATGGACTCTTGTTACAGAAACTCGACGAAACCCTGAGGGGTTTCTCTGCAGCTCGGGGGGGATTTAGTGCAGGAAAAGAAAAAACCTGTGCGCCCTGAAAGAGCTCTCTGTTCGTTAGGAATGCCTGAAAGCAGTCAGTGCCCTGTACCAACCATCAGTGTCCACACAGACCCACAAACATCTGAGCCTGGGCGTGGGGGTCCAGGGTGGTCATCAGCAGCCGAGTTCAAGAGATGTGAAGCTAAAAACTTTTTTTTTTTTTTTCCTGTGGCTGCGGTCAGGTTGAGGTCAGGGACGATGGGTTACACGGATGATGGTGTGTCTTGATTCTGACGGAGAATGTGTGTGTGTGTGTGTTTTAAATAGTTTATTTTTTTATGTGTGTGTTTATACAGGGTACCAAAGGAGACCCAGGCCTCCCAGGCCTCCCTGGTCCTGCTGGATATCTGGGCCAGAAAGGAGAACGAGTGAGAAAACAGAGGAAAAATTACAAATGTTTGGTTTCTGTTCAGAACTCTTGTTTTGACTTTTTTTTTTTTTTTAGGGTGCAGTTGGTCTTGATGGACCCAAAGGTGACCAGGTGTGTTTCATGACATTAAATATTACCTGCACGACATTATGACTTTGTCCAAATGAGGAACTGTTGAGTTAAAAGATGCTGAAGGCCAAAAACCTGTCACACATGTTCACTTCAGGGAGCTCCAGGTGCCGAGGGAGTGGCAGGAGAACGAGGAGACTTGGTGAGTGATCTGATGCTGGAAATATATTATTTTAATCAGTTTTGATCCTGCAGGACAAAGACATCAGGTGGTCAGTAAGAAACCAGGGAGAATTAAGCTGAATATTCTGAGGGAGTAAAGAGCCCGGCACGAATGTCTGTCACAAATTTCATTTGTTTTTTTCTTTGGTGTTTAATTTATTTGACCAAACATTGGACGTGGGTTTTAAATATTTTGGTTTTATTTCCTCTGCTAGGGCGAACAAGGAGAACCCGGAGAGAAAGGATCGGTACGTAAACAGAAGATCTGAAATGTTTCATGCTACTGTAAATTGTTAAATATTCAGGTAATTCAGTAAAGTATCACATCTGACAAAACCTTAAATTCATTCTGCTTCCTTGTTTCGCAGACGGGGCCGCCAGGAGAGACAGGAAGTAAAGGACCTGAGGGTGGAAGAGGACAGCCAGGGGAAGAGAAGCTGGGTCAACCAGGACCAAGGGGCATGCAGGGTGACACAGGGGTACCAGGTCTGCCTGGAACCCAGGGTCGACAGGTCAGACTTTACATCATAGAATGTTTTTGTTGATGATGATTTCCTAATGTAATGTGACTCATTACTTTGTCATTTTGTACACAGGGAAAAACACCAACAGATTCACACATCAAACAGGTCTGCATGAGAGTAATGCAAGGTAAGTGTTTTGACATCTTCATCCTTTTCCACTTGTTGGCGCTGTAAACTTGTGAGATACAGTAGATTACTGCAGCATTTAATGAATGGATATTCAGAAAAACAAATCACTCACAGATGATCGATGTAGAGGAGAAGAAGCTGCTAACCCAGGGATGGCAGAAAAGTACATTAGGGTGGCGCAGAACATATGAATGTGCAGCAAGACTATAGAGAATAAGACAATAATAATAACAATAATTTGCAAAATAATCATTTCTTGTGTCACAGAGCAGCTGGCCCAGCTAGCAGCCAGTCTGACCAGGCCTGAGTCAGGCATAGCTGGACTGCCTGGTCCCCCTGGTCCACCTGGACCTACAGGCCCTGCTGGGGAGAACGGATTCCCTGGACACACCGGATCAAGAGGACTTCCTGGTCTAAAAGGTCCTCCTGGGGTAATCGGACGCAAAGGACCCAAAGGTAAGATTTAGATCAGAAACCAGTGCTCTGTGAGACTGGTTGTTATGAGCTAAGATTCAATGCAAGCTGAAAAAACCTGAGCTTCCATGTCTTTTTTAATTACATTTTTGTCAAACTAATTAACAATATTATCAGTTCCAGTTGGTCTACAGGCCTTGAAATTGGACATACTGTCGTTCAGTAAAGAAACAACTGTCATGTCATATTTCTAATGTCTGTCTATTTAATGTCTGCAGGTGACCAGGGTGACACAGGAGACAGAGGACCAACACTCAGAGGACCAAAGGGAGAGCCTGGTGCCCCTGGTCTGCCAGGTAAAGGAAACACTCAGTAGTAAAAGTCCAAATTTGAGGGAAAATGTTTCAGATTGGATTTGGTTTCAAACTGACTGGAATGGTGGTTTATACGGACGAGAGACGAAGACTGAAGTTGATCAAGCAGTGTGTGATTGGACAGTCCGTTATAAAGCAAAGAGTTTCAGATGTGAAAACTGTTTTCATTACAGTTTCCCAAGAAATGGAAATATGCAATATACTGTTGAGGTTTTATGAATATTACCAGTGAAAAACCACTACAATTCAACCCTCCCTACCCTTCCAGGTAATCCCGGTCGGCCGGCCTACGGCAAAGATGGCCGCGATGGAGAGCGGGGCCCTCGCGGTACTCCCGGTATTCCTGGTGTTCCTGGCTCACCTGGTACAGCCGGTCTCAATGGCTACTGTGAACCTTCGCAGTGTGTCCTGCCGATGGTGGCGTCACCGGTTTCAGCAAAGGACTCCAGCATGAAGGGACCCAGTGAGATGTGAAGAGCAAAACTGAGAGACTGGAGGAGGAATCCCAACTCTGACGAGGAAGATTTTGTCTATTTGGGTTTTCCCGGTTGATTAATATGTTTTTAAAAAATTTGGTCGGCTTACTTGATTTTTTTTTTTTTGACACCATCTTTGATATAAAGGTGAAAACTGAACACTTGTCATTTTGTAAATTTAAATTTTACCTCACTGTCTCCATTTGAACATCACAGATCTCACTGTAAACATGCAAAATCCAGGCCCATTTCTGCCACAACAATGTTGTTTGTTTATGTAAATGTGTCAATATGCAAATTATACTGTTTGGATAACCATGGTTGTTCATTTTTCTTCTAAATGTAGGAAATGTTTGATCTCTCTGTCCTGACAACTGATGTTCTTGTCATCAGTTGTTAATATTTTGTAAAAAGGAAACCCTCTCTGGCAGTTTTTTATGACTTCTTATTTATTATTTTAAATTTCAACGTTCAAAGTTGTACAAAGGGGGAAATAAACACATTTTGATAACTTTTTGCATGTTTTGTATCGACAAGTAAAAAGTCATAAAACAGAAGCAAATTAAAACCGAAATTACTGTGATTATGAATTCTTACATATTGTATTTCTCTGCAAATCTGTGTGAAAGTTTAAACCGATTTTACAGTCTAGATTTATTTATGTTGTCATAAAGTTAATTAAATTAATTTAGCATATTATAAAAATGTTATGTTTAGATTACAGGGCAGCAGATAATAAACACAGCATTGGTTCAGTAGAGCCACCAACTTTCTGTCAACGACAATGAAAGTTGGTGACAGAATGACAGGAAAAAAAAAAGATGATCTAACGTTCATGCTAATGTGATGTACACAGATGGACACTAGATAGTGCTTAAGCCATTAGTTAAGTTGCCCTTTGAAGAAACTAGTGCCTTTTTGAAAATTTAATTGAACCGTATTGAATACGAGACGCAATTTCTGCCGTATTTCTATAAATGTCCGACAGACACGTCTATCACACACATATTAAAACTCACAAAACAGCGTTTAAATTGACAACGACTCCCGTTCCTGCAGTATTTATGCCAGGACTGTATGTGACGCTGTGCCAACCGCGGTCTAACATACTAACACCGGAAAGATTCGTAGCGGAAGTGTGGAGAATTGTCGTGACAGCGGGAAAAAAAACCGCTCGCGGTTTGTGACGTCAGATCCTGAAATGGTTGCCGCTGCATTTAAAAGCCACAGGTGTACGGAGTTATTCCTGACGTGAGGCTCGTCCTGGTTCGGATGGAAGACGCAGGCAGAAAGTGGTAAGTGATTTTCGGACTTTTATTCCTAGGTTTTTGTGTCTTGACCGTATGTATTAGTTGTAGCTAAATAGCGTACACTTTACTTAAAGTGGGAGAAAACTTTGTTTATTTGTTTTGGTGAAACAAATTTACAAAATGGCCGACTAACGTCAGAATGTTTGTTCATTGAATTTATTCGACAATTTCAGTATTACGTGCAACGTTTTAAAGTGCACCTTAATGGCGCACTTACGCTAGGGCCAGTTGCTCCATGCCGCGCTAAAGTGCCGATTTCCCCGGCCTTCTTCGGCCCGGCCTCGTATTTTTTTAACGGCAAGCGAGCTAAAGCGCTAGCACCAGGCCTTGTTTCCGTGCTTTATGGACGAGAGACGGAGACTGAAGACAAGACTGGAGTTGATCAAGCAGCATGTGATTGGACAGTCCGTTATAAAGCCTAGAGTTTCAGATGTGAAAAGCTGTTTTCACCACAGTTTCCCAAGAAATGGAAATGTACAATATACTGTTGAGGTTTTATGAATATTACCAGTGAAAACCCACAACAATTCAACCCTCCCTGGCGCGCGGCCTCGTATTTTTTTAACGGCAAGCGAGCTAAAGCGCTAGCACCAGGCCTTGTTTCCGTGCTTTATGGACGAGAGACGGAGACTGAAGACAAGACTGGAGTTGATCAAGCAGCATGTGATTGGACAGTCCGTTATAAAGCCTAGAGTTTCAGATGTGAAAATCTGTTTTCACCACAGTTTCCCAAGAAATGGAAATGTACAATATACTGTTGAGGTTTTGAGTATTACCAGTGAAAACCCACAACAATTCAACCCTCCCTACCCTTCCAGGTAATCCCGGTCGGCCGGCCTATGGCAAAGATGGCCATATCAGATTCAGTGTTACGTGCAAAGTTTTCAAGTGCACCTTAATGGCGCACTTAGGCTAGGGCCAGTTGCTCCAGGCCGCGCTAAAGTGCCGATTTCCCCGGCCTTCTTCGGCCCGGCCTCGTATTTTTTTTTAACGGCAAGCGAGCTAAAGCGCTAGCACCAGG